TTCTCCTTTAATTCTCTCCCTCATTCCTGGGGCTGGGGGAGGGGGAGTGACCGACTGTGTGTGGGATTCGGCCTAACCCACAACAGAGAGAGAAAATAAGATATTTCTTTTTATGTACATGCGATCTGTGAGAATTGACGTTATCCTTTTCTATGAAATTGAATGAAAAAACATGTTTAGATTTGTGGTCCCTGTGAATATAGAATCATAGAATGGTTTGAGTTGGAAGGGACCTTAAAGATTATCTAGTTCCAACCCCTCTGCCAAAGGCAGGGACACCTTCCACTAGACCGGATTGCTTAAAGCCTTATCCAACCTGGGCTTGAACACTTCCAGGGATGAGGCATCCACAACTCTTCTGGACAACCTGTTCCAGTGTTTCACCACCCTCAGAGTGAAGAATTTCTTCCTTAGAGCTAATCAAAATCTCCCCTCTTTCAATTTAAAGCCATTTTCCCTTGTCCTATCACTACACGCCCTTGTAAAAAGTCCCTCTGCAGCTTTTTTGTAGGCTCACTTTAGATATCATCTGAAGTGTATTTATATGGACTTTCCGGACATTTTATACTAAAGGGTGCTGCTTGAGAAAGAAAATGGGGACTTCACCGTCCCCCTGGGCTCAGTTTTTTCTTTTGAGTGTTTTCTCCCACTCTTGTGGTTTTGAGTTTTTGCTAGTTGTTTTTTCCCCCGCCAGGGCAGTCTTTGTTCTTATGCACTGTTTGTTAGTATTGTCTGGATGTAGATACAAGCAATGCTATAGTTCTGTCATGGTTTAGCCCAGCTGGCAGCTAAACTCACTTCCCCTCCCACCTACTCCACCACCATCCCCCAATGGGGTGGAGAGGAGAAAAATGTAACAAAAAGCTTGAGGGTCAAGATAAGAAAAGGGAGGGAGCACCCACCAACCGTGGCCCCAGGCAAAACAGACTCGGCCTGGGGACAAATCAGTTTAATCCATTACCAGCCACATTCAGGGAAGCTAATGAGAAACAAAGCCAGATCTTAAAGACACCTTCTCTCACCCCCACCCGGCGCTACCTCCTCTCCCTGGCAGCTCAGGGAGACAGGGAATGGGAGTTGTAGGTCAGTTTGTCACATGCTGTTTCTGCCGCTCCGTCCTTAAAGGTGGAGGACACCTCACACTCTTCCCCTGCTGCAACGTGGGGCCCCTTTCCACGGGAGGGAGTTCTTCACAAACTTCTCCAACATGAGTCCTTCTCGTAGGATGCAATCCTTATCTGTCAGATTGCCCTAGCACAGGATTTTCCTGTAGAGTCACAGCTTCTTAGGGCACAGCCATCTGCTCCAGCATGGAGTCCCTTCCCACACACTGCAGATGCATCTCTGTTCCACCATGGGTTTCCAGCAGTGTGGGGGTCCTTCCCACAGGAAACAGTCCTCTACAAATTTCTTCAGACAGAGGCATCTCTGCTCCAGCGTGGGGTCCTTCATGGGCTGCAGGTGGATCTCTGCTCCACCGAGTCTTTCATGGCTGCAGGGGGGCCGCTGCCATCTCACTGTGGGCTGCAGGGGAATCTCTCTCCTCAGCACCTCCTCCTGCTCCACCTGCACTGACGCGGTGTCTGTGTGGCCATTTCTCTCAGATCTCAGTTCTCTCCCTGCTGCAGCTGTGCCAGGTCTAACTGGCCAGACAAACCTTGGCAGTCCCAGCCCATGAACTCTGTCCAGCAGGCGCCCTGGGAGCGGGGCACTTTGGAGCTCCCCAAGCCACATTGCTGTGGCCATCTACAATAGAGTGGAGGGCGCCCGGCGTGGGCAGCTGCCCACACGGGAGGCTGGTAGGGGCCACCCCTCTGCCTCCCTGGTCTGTTCACTGCTGGTCCTACCTGGCATGGGGTCCTTTGTCCCCTTGTTAAATATGCCATTCACAGAGGCATCGATTGGCTCAGCCCGGGCCAGAGGTGGGTCCGACTGGTTTTGGTGCCAGGGAAGCTTCTCACAGGAGCCATCCCTACAGCCTTTCTCCCACTGCAAAAACTGCACCACATAAACACAGCACAACTTCCTAATAGGATTCTGGAGCCCTTATCTGAGGGATGGCTAATACAAGTGTGCTCCATTTAACTTCAGTCCACTTTCCAGGGAGAGCAAATTTTAAAATGCCAGTAAGCTGAACATACTGTATTTTCTTTTGATTGCAGCACTTTACTTGGCTTCCTATGAGAGCAAAAGTCCCGAGAATCACATTGAAAAGGACAGATGGAAGATGCTAAGGTTTGTATCAGAGGTTAGCCCCGTCAATAAATAAAGAGAATGAGATACAGAGCAAGCAACAAACAGTTAAAAATAAATGGCATGCTACGTGTTTCAATAGATGGGGCACAGCATCGGTGTGAATCCCTCCTCCAATGTGGGGCTCTTGGAAAAAAGAGAGCAGTTAATCTTTATCTTAAACCTTCTCAAGCCTTCTCTCTCCTAGGGGATGGGAATTCGAATAACTGATTTTTTATCTTAATTTCTTGTGTTATTCAGTGTAGGAAAAAATACTTTCTAAACATCAAAGAAATCCCTACTTCCTCACAAGTACTATACAGAGCACTCTGGTTGCCAAGCAGACATTTCTGCAGCTATTGCATCCCTTTATGTGCCTAGCCTTTCAGACAGGGATGAGGTCTGCACAAAGATCACACTGAGGCAAATGCATTCATGAAACCAGATAGCAATTTGGAGTTCAGGCTGTGAAAACCAAATCTAAGCAAAAACCTATTTTTGGCTTTTCTTCTACTGCTGGTTGAACATAGCCTTATCCGCTCTTTATTCTACTAATTGTGGAGGGATACTTGAACTGTTGTGGCAGTGTTCTACAATTCCTTCGAATTAATCCCAGTTATTTTTGGGAAAGGACAGAAAGGGAGAGTTACTCATATCAGTGCACAGACACTCCACATTACACAGAGGGGCAAGATGAACAAAGACCCCAAGGTTGAAAAACTGTGATAACAGGAACCTCAGTTTCACAGGATCCTTATCCGAGGAACTCTGAAGCTGTCTGAGAAGATTTACGTCATTCTAATGATTGTCTTTACTTATTTACATTTCCCTTTTCCTTTCAGATCAGCACTTCTGGGCAGTGTCTAGTGCACAGATGGCTGCTGTTTCTGCCGTTGCGATGTTATGTGGGCATAACCAAGCCAAGGGGCATGGCTTGGTTTATCTTTCTGTACAGGGTGCGGCATTCAAAGAGGTGAAAAAGTGCAATCAGTTGTGATATTGTGTCAGCAAAGATGAAACAAGTTAACTCAAGAACAAACAGGCAGCTTCTGACATCTGACAGATGAAATAAAATCACATCCCACTTGGCTGTGATTCAGGCTTAAGTATTGATTGAGGACAGCGCTGACAGAATCCTTTGAAGAGCTCAGATACTGCCTATGAATCATTTCACACCTGGATGGAATGCTTTTCCCCTTCTTTTTGCTGCAGAGTAGTTAGTAGATTATGGAGGGGACAAAAACACCATTCTTTTCAGTGAAACCCAAGTCTGCATTGAAGAACTTCCATTACTAATGAGCTGAACGATCAGCCAGGAACTTTGGCTGATCCGGATTGCTAAGAAGGGAAAGAACTGGACACAACAAACTGGCTGCTAGGGAGAGTTTCTCCAGACCACTGTAATGGTGGCTGTGTTTTTTTTCTTTTTCCATTATGTTTTTGAGTTGGCTGCTGGTAGGCAAACATTATTATTCTAAATTATTCTAAAATGTAAGTAATAAAAATCAAGGCTGTGGTAGAAAACATACCTGCTACAAAAATATAGTAGCTATGTAGCTTGGACTATTTTACAACTTATAGGGAGTTTTTCTTTCTTTCACTTGTTTACAACTAACCACTACATGCTACAGACATTTTAACTGCATGGTTTTGTGACTCTAATTTTCCATACTTGACCTTCTTCTATCAGATTGAACAAGCTGACTTTTCTAGAATAGTCTTTGAGAAACTGGTGTACAAACTGTGCTGAAATATGAAAGTATGTTTTTATTAAGTCATTTCTATAATTGTTTTTTTTTTGAGAAAGTAACAATGGAGAACACAGTCCACTTTGACTGAAATAGCAAGATGCCAAAAAGAAAAAAAGATGAGGCTTCTTCTCAACTACAGCTGAGAGCAAAACTGTCTCCCTGTGTGTTTGCTGTATGGATTATGTTTATGACAGTGATACCTAATAAGTTTGTAGTAGCTCTGAATACTTAGTCATTCTATTTATCCTAGAAAGAATTCAATGGCAAAAAAAAAGGAAACTGTAGCTGTAGCTCACCCTGGACACAAAATCACTAAGCAAAAGCATGTGCTTGGCAAAAAAGGTGTTTGCAATAATCCTGCCACTGCTATTTAAAAAAGAAAAGAAATAAGAATAGATATATCTATCTGTTGCACTGCATCTCTTGAGTTTTCAGTTAAGCTCTTTTTTATGTTCTGTCCATGCCTTTTCAGGCAAGTATTTAATTTTTGAATTCTATAAGAACATGCAGAAGTAGCCTTCATCAACAGGGATACTGTCCTTTACTACGGCCTATTTGCTGGTACAAGGTGCTGGAAGTCGCTGAATTATATATTCCATGAGCGCTAACACCAGGGCCCTGAGCCTTGACGGTGGAGGAGGATTCCTCTTCTCTCCCATTCGCTGAGTTAGGGTGAAGGAGAAAGAAGAAACTAAGTCTTTGAAGAGGAGACTGCTTCTGCAGTTCCCAGACTTACCTCCCAGCTTTCATCAGATGAGATCTTTCCCTCTACATCCTTCCTCCATTGTTGAGGCTTATAGGCAGGACTTAGTTTATGTAAAAAGCTGAGGAAAATTGTGTATTCCTCTTCCACATCCTCTGGAAGTAGGATGATACAATAATAAGTTACATAAATGAGCTTCCATGATGCAGTATTTGCTATCCTCATTAACCTGTGTTTTTTTTGACATTTTTAGTTCTAGGGAAAGCCAGAGGGTTGAACAAAGTGTTAACTTACCTGTAAAAATAACTTCTCTCCTTCCCTCCTCCACTGTAACACAGTTTGACTACTAGCCTGGTTTAGAAATGGATTTGGGTTTTATGCATTTGGAATGAAACCTTTGTAAATAAAAGGAGAAATAGCATTACCCACCCTCCACCCAGAGTGGGGCTCTGTGTATTGTCTTGTGGGCCAGCTTCTCTGAGAAGAAACAGCACATACCCGAGTGATTGCTATGGAGGAGACAGCTGCTGCCTTCTCACAGAAGCTGGGCAGCGGGTGCAGGAGCCTGCTGTGACTGATGCTTGAAAGGGGAATGAGAATTCCCTAGCCCCGTGGAAGCCAGAGGCTGCTCCTGTAGACACTGATGGACTCAGTGTTTGAAGTTAGAGCAGTAAGATTCTCATCACGCACTGCACCCCTGCTCCATCATTCGGTGCAGCCACTGTGGTGAGCTTTAATTTTTAATATCCTGAGCTACTGTCAGACTGTTGAACCATTGACTTGGAAACAGCCGTTCACACCTGCATGTAGCAAATGAGAGAGAAAATTATTGACTCTTCTATGGCTAACCGGCTCCTAAAGGAAACATCACAAACTCTCTGAAATGAGGAGTTACAAGAATTCATTAACTCTACAAGTTTCGTGTTCAACCAAGACTGGAAATCCCAGCTCAGTACTGACAGATGCTCAGTGCTTAATGGGGATAGAAGCAACATCAAAGTCTCCTGTATAAATGGCTCAAACGTTACTTATTTCTTTGTGGTGTTCTTTCTTCTTGAGGTGCAGAGACAAAAACTGTGGGTCTTATGGACCTGGATTAACCAACTTGTTCAAAAGAGTCTAGATGTCTGCCTAAGCCCACAAGAAGAATACCTGTTCTTATAATCCAAATATTTCCCTTTTCTCCTACTTGGAAAGAGCTTCATGGCATCACAATGAAGAGAATAGTCAATTGCATGCAATAATGTGCAAAAGCCTATTTACAACTTTCATCTTTAAAGGAGCAAGCAAGAACCTATACCTCCACGTGGTTTTGGGGGAGATTATTGTGGTTTTTTCTTTCAGCCTTCCTAGACAACCTGTTCTTGGCAGAGCTGAAACTGGTGCTTGATCTAGCACTAAGAAGAACTTTTTTGGATAATAGGCAAAATGACATTGATTTTTCAAGAGTTCTGTTCTTCCGGGGAGTTTTCACAGTCACTTTGGGTGGTTTTCCTTGTACTAGTTGTGTGCAGCAGGACCCCTTGTGGGCTTCTTGCAGTGTTTCTGCTGGAAAACAGCAATCCTTTCGTAGTGCACCAGTGTCTGCTTTTTCTCTCAGCTCCTCTCTGTCTCCTCTTGGTCATGCTGAGGTTTTCCCCACATAAAAAGAGAGGCTAGTCCCTAGAGATGCATTCCCTCACAGCTGCATCTGTCCTGCTGCTGTCAGCCAGATCCAGATAGCCTGCTTCTACCAAGCAACTGTATCCTAACCTGTGCTTTATGGTCATGGGGTCCTGTGTCATCAGCTGTTTTTCAGCTTGAGAACACGGCTAGTAAGGATTTTCAAGAGAACTAGTCTACTTACAAGGTTACTGTTTTTTGCTGACACTTTAGACTCAAAATTGATAAAGTTTAGTGCCAGAGTTTAGTGCCAGAAAGCGTATCATTTGATACCAACAGACACTTTGTCGTTATTCCACTGTGCTGCATTAAGCTCTTCTGGAATATGTGTTTTAAATTCTTCTTTATTAGAAAATTTTAGCTATAGTATGACCCAAAAGGATGTCTCATTATAAACTGAGTAAATACACTGTCCTTCTTTCATGGAGATTACTTTTCAGGAAGAAAAATGTAAAAGATAATGTGAATAAAGCAGCTGTTTTTCATCAGTTATTTATGTAGTCAAAGCAATCTGAGTGCCAATGACACTGTGGGGCAGGATTTTCTGCTTTCTGTTAGTGCTTTTCTCTGTGAAGTCCAGAGGCTGTAAGGGGAAGTGGTTCTTACATGGACTTCTAGCTGCAGCACCTGGAGGCAGTCTATTCCAGAGAGTGACAAACAAAACAAAGCATCTGTCTTGGTGTTAAGACAGAAGGGTCCTCTGTAAGCTCCAAAGTTTGGTCTAGTGGTCAAAAGATGAAATAGCTTTCCTTAGAAAGAACCACTAAGCATAAACCAGTTCGGAGAGCTCTAATAAACACTAGTCTCTTGGCCTTTCAACTGCTTTTCTTTATTGTCTGATAACCCAATAGCATTTACACTTGGGATGCCTCACTGCTTTTTAAATGTGTCTTTCCCGGGAGAAAAGTGTATGTAGAAGACCATCACAAAAAGATGTGGTTGAAATTTCAAGGCTGGTGATTCAGAGTGGAGTGAATGATGTGGGCAAAGAAGTTCAAAGAAGATCATCTTGCTGTCAATCAAACAGATTGACCCCATTGTATGAATGATCCATCTATTGGTAATGCTGCCTGTAATGACAGAAGTATGGGCATTAAAGCAACCACTTTGATACTTTTTTTTCTACTTAACCATAAAAGTACTGACACATTTGGACAGCTGACACTGCTGGGCAGAGCCTTTTTTTTTTTCCCTCTTTGTGTGTGCAACTGTGATAGAGAGTTTATTATTTCTCTAGTAATAGAGAAACACACTAATGCTTTCTTTGCTGTGTCTTTCAGAACTGGGCCATCTTCCACATTTCTAATCTTGCCAACCTATTCAAAATTGAAAGTATGAAAATACAACAGAATGCATGTGAAAAACTATGCTTCTTGGTGATGTTTAACAAATACAGGAGGACTGTTTTTACTAGAGGTTGGTAGAAAGTCAGAAATAACTAGGGCTAGGAGCAAGGCACCCATTTTAGAAGGAGTTACACTTTCTTTAGACCTCCTCTTCCTCAGACAGTTCAGTTCTGCTTTTCTGATGCTAACGATAGGGAATGTCACCATTTCCCTTTAATTTCTGTTTGAGCAAATGTATTACATTTTTGGTACTTGTTTCTGTATGACAGTCCAGAATTGGGCCTAAAGGAAATAGCAGGTGGTGTTCCTTGATCCCTCTATAAGCCCAGACAATTTGATAATCAACAGAACTAGTATTCAGAGGCTGTTTGCCCCCCATAAAAAAGTGCTTACAGCATTATATAT